TGTTGAGTGACAAAACTGAGTATTTATTTCAGCCTTTATTGGAACCACTTTTTGCTAAATGGGAGGCTGTCTGTTCTTCTTGGGTCTGATTGGCTCTGGTAGTAAGTAATCTCCAGGGTTTGTAGCAACAACCAAACTAATGCTTTATTGTTTCGTTCTTCCTATAGAAAGGAAGCAAAGTAAAGTTTAAAGACTAAGTACCAATAAACTCCATTACAATAATAAGAAATGTAGAACACCTGCAAGGGCTTAGGAGGCCTCATGATGTCAGGAAAAGTTCTAGGAATGAGGAAAGAACAGACTGAGTCCTGCCCCTGCAGGGTTCAGGCTAAGGGAGAAGCCCTGTGCTCTGGGGCTTGGTCTGATTACAGATAATCTTCCTTTCTGGTGGCTCAGTCTGAGCAGAAATATCTGGTTCTGGGGGCTCATGGTCTCATAGTGGAGGCAGGGTGCCTCACTGGAAACCATGTGCAATTCTTAGTTATCCTGGCAAAAGGGATGAAGCAGGGGTGTTGAAAGTCACCCTGTAATTTCTCCAACAGCTTTGGAGAGTTTCAAATCATTTTACCTTCCCCATTTTTTTCCCACTGAAGCTGATGAAGTAGGGCCTGGAGAAGTGGCAAGTAGAAGAATACGGCCTCATGTTTAATATTGGCCACACAGACTATCCAAAAAGGAAGGCAGGGCCAGTAGAACTCCTCGCTGAGGCTTGATCTGAATCATGAGGATAGCTTTGCTTTCAGGTGGCTTATTGAAGAGAGGGATGAGGAAGTGGGAATAAGACTGAGAAGAAAGGGTTGTATGGCCCCAGACATACCCTCATCACAAAGAGCTGAGCTACTCAGTGTGAATCTGGATTGAGCTAGGAATAAAAGGAGATTTTATTCTGTTTTATCCCAATCTTCTTCTATGTTCTTCTCCCCTACCCCTCACCCAACTCTCAAATATCAGTTTTTGTATTGAATGATAATTAATTTTTGTTAATTTTTACGTGATAATGATTTTGTGATTATGTTCTTAAATAAGATCTTTATCTGTTAGAGCTGTATATTAAACTATTTACAGATGAAGTTATGTAATGTGAGAGATTTGCTCTGGGAGGACAGGGGATGAGGAGGTTTGGATGAAATAAGAATGGCCTTAAGTTGATAACTGTTGAAGCTGGGTGATTGATAGGTACATGGGTGCATGAGGGTTCATTGTACTATTTATATATTTTAATAGTATTTAAATTTTTTCATAATAAAAAGCTTTTTAAAATCTCAGTTTCTGAGAATAGTCCCAGTTGAACCTGTTCCTCCTGACTTTCTACTCTTGTCTTCAAAGACTTTCCCATCAGTGGCACAAAGGTGAGACCGCCAGTCATCTAGCAGTGGGGATGGCTTGCTTTGAGCTAGCCACATTTTGTGAGCAAGGTCACAGATTTGTGAGCAATGGTCACAGACCATTGTGTAGACTTAGAGGTGGTTCATAACATCATACATGTCTTCTCAAGAGGCATGTAGACATATAATACTGGTGGGAATGTTAAATGGTATAACAACTTTGGAAAAAATTTGGTGGTTTCTTAAAAAGTTAAACATAAATTTAGGATAAGCATAAATCACTGTAGGATCCAGTGATTCCACTCCTAGTTATTTATAAAGGAAATGGAAGCCTATGTCCGTGAAAAGACTTGTATATAAATGTTCGATACAGCTTTGTTTGTAATGGTCAAAAACTGGAAGCAACCCAAATGTCCAATAAATGGTAAATTAGTATACAAATTGTGTAGTATCTATACAGTAGAATACTATTCAGCAATAAAATGAAATGAATGATTGATAGATACAAAAACATGGATGAATCCCAAAGTCACTTTTTAAACAGGAGAAAAGGCATACAAATTTATTATGTGCAAGTGCTCACGAGTCCCACAAAATACGAGACTCAAAGAAGGGCCAGATGGTTGAAGCTTAAATATCATTTTCATAGGGGAGAGGGAAGTAGAGGATGTAGGCAATTTTAGGGGGAAATTAAATAATTTTTAGGGGTGACGAATGAGCCCCAAGAACAGACAATAGCCTGGGACAAAGTTCATCTGGGCTCTGGGTATGGTGTCAGGTCTAGTCTGCCTTCTGGTGGTATGCATCAGTTTCCTCTATTGAGTCACTATTTAGGGAAGGGATTGACAACATTTGAATATTTTTTGGAGGATTCAGCATTTAGGTAGATAGAGAAACTTCAGAGAAAACCCTTCCCTTTATTTGCTGTTTCTTCCGCCAAAATCATTATGCTGAGTGAAAGAAGCCAGACAAAAAGAGACTGTATACTATATGAGTCCATTTATATAAAATTCTAAAAAATGCAAACTAATCTAAAGTGACAGAAATCAAATTGACAGTTACCTGGGGACCAAAAGAAGGGAAAAGTGGAAAGGAGAAATGACAAAGCAGTATGAGAAAAATGAGGGATAACAGATACTTCATTATCTTGAATGTGGTGATAGATTTACAAATACGTGTGTGTGTATAATTATATACTTTAAATATGTGTAATTTTGGGAGGATGGTGACTAGAAGGGGATGTGGCAGGTTCTGGGTGCTGGAAATGTTCTGTTTCTTCATGCAGGTATCAGTTCCATTAATGTGATTACTTTGTGAAAACTCATCAACTTATCTGTGATTTCTGCATATGTCTTTAGGTGTATTAACAATACAATGTTAAATAATTAAACCTGTGGTCTCAGCTACTTGGGAGGCTGAGGTAGGAGGATTCTTGATCCCAGGAGTTCAAGACCAGCCTGGGCAACATATTGAGGCTCCATCTGTGAAAAAAAAGAAAGTAAATTTAAAAATAAGTTAAATAATTAAAAGTAGAGGGTATCAGATTAATCTAGAACTATGGGTAGTATAGTTGTGTTAGTCAAGATAAGATAACTGATATAACAAACAGCCTCAAAATCTCAGTAGCAGCATAATAAAGATTTATTTGTTGCTCGTGTGACAATACAATGAGGATTGTTATGGGGAGAGGTGGCTTGCTCCACCAGTCACTCAGTAAACCATGTTCTTCCCAGCTAATGTCTCCACCACCCTCTTGAGTTTCAGGATCCTGTCTTTTATTCTGTGCATCCAGCCATCAAATAGGGGAGGAGAGAGAACAGAAAGACTTACACATGATATCTTTTTAGGGCCAAGCCTGTAAATGGCATAATTACTTCTGCCGACATTACATTGGCCAGAACAAAGTTACATAACCCTATCTAACTACAAGGGAGCTTGGGAAATATACTCTAGCTATGTACTTAGAAGGAAAAGAAAATAAAGTTTGATGAATATATACCATTGTCTCTGTCACAGTCTGCTTTTCTGATCATCTGATATCCATTTCACTTTTCCTCCCACATATGAAACACCCTTATCATCTCCGCATAATCCTACCTACCCAGTCACTGAATCCAACTCACTCCAGGATCTCTGGGTGCAGCACAGTCCTCTTATCAGATCTAAATGTGGTTCCTCTTGGTCTGGAGAGATGGGAGGAATTCCTTTATTCATTGTTCTCTCAGTGACCCCTGGCTCTACTCCTGGGGAAGTTTTTCCCCATTCTGGCCAACTCTGAAGGGGATCTTAGGGAATATGCTGTCCTCGGAGGCTGCAGTTTTCATAACCTTCCTGTGCCCAGTGTTGTTTTAATGCTTCCCAAACAGTCATGGCCTTATTAAGACCAGACTCATTGTCACTTTAGTAATACCATTCCTCCAAAACCTATCAGACTTCTTATCTGTTTGCACATGTAACCAATTAGTTCCATGTGCCAACAACCCACCAAAATTCTCTCCTAAATATAGTTCTCAAATTTGTCCTATTTCTTTGCTTCCTTGCCCTTCCATGCCCTTCTTTCCCAACTTAATGGCAATAAAGTTGAGTCTATCTGGAATAGTAGTCATGGGTATCACCTTTAATCTGAAGTTTGCCTCAAGGCTGAGTCACTTCATTCAGTTGAAAAGAATTATTGGGCCTTGTTTGCTTAAGTTCTTAATCTTATATCTTCCTGTTGAGAGATCATAGTTTGTCGCCCAAAATTTCTTAGGTTCTTTTTTATTTAAGAGATGGAATCTTGCTGTGGAGGTCTTGATCTCTCGATCTCAATCCTCCCACCTTGGCCTCCTGAGTAGCTGGGGGCACAGGTGTGTGCCACCATGCCCAGCTAATTTTTTTCATTTTATTTTAGGGACAGGGTCTCACTGTGTTGCCCAGGCTAGTCATGAACTCCTGTGATGCTCCAAATTTCTGTACTCTCTATTCTTTTTCATTTCTGCTTACAAATTCGCAAATTATTTCCCTAGTTCAACTCTTTCTTTTAATATCTCATCAGAGGCAGCCAACACGCAATAATATTCTGATTCTTTCTAACCACTTCCTTTAGAGCTGCAGTTTCAGTAGGCACATGATCTACCTTTCAGTGTTATCAAATTCTTTACTATTAACATGATTGCCGTCTTTCCAGCCTTTTATGTCAGTCTCCTTATTACCACCCCCAACTCCTAAGCCAAGGCCACACATTTTAGACTTTTGTTAAAGCAGTACCTCACTTCAGTAATGGAATGATAAGGAGCTTGAGTTCTGGAATTGGTTCCAAACCCGTTTCTTCTACTCAGTATCCAAGTGACTTTAAGCAAAATACTTTTCCTCTCTCAATATCCAATTCCTCATCTATTATTAAAAGGGATTATTATAAATATTAAATAATATCTATAAAGTACACAGTTCCTAGCACTTAATTAATACTTAATATGTTTTAGTTACTATTATCTCCCTTCAGAATCCCAAGGATGGCTCCTGCAGGGCTTTCTTTTCTGTCCTGTGTGCTATTGCCTAGAGCCTGTGAACTGTAGGGCCTCCCTGCCCTTGAAGGAGAGAGAGACACTGTGTTTGAGAGATAAGACTCCAGAAGGTAGAACTGAAGCAGCACATACATTGAATGAAATGTTCATTTAATTTTTTTTTTATTTTTAGATTCTCCTTCTTTTAGGCATCATGTGTTTTATCCTAGCAGTTGGACATGGCATTTGGGAGCACAAGAAAGGCTACTACTTCCGGATTTATCTGCCGTGGGAAAAATATGTCTCTTCATCAGTTATCTCTGCTGTGCTCATATTCTGGTCCTACTTCATTATTCTCAACACCATGGTGCCCATTTCCCTCTACATCAGGTGGGTTTCTTTGGTCACTTTGGGTTATGGAGGGAGGAGCTAACTTCATACTTCTTGCTCAATTCTCCAACTAGCATGAACTTTCAGAAAGCATCCACCATGCTCCCTTTGACCCTTTACTTTCCACAGGGCCTGGTGTGCAAAACACTCTGAGAAATACCTAGAGATTGCATAAATGCCTTCCATATCCAGTGTCAGATACTATGTGGTTTACAGAAAAATAAAAGTATCCCTGCTCTCAAATAACTGATAATGTTAAGTGACTAAATAAGACATATAAATACACAAAACCACTAGAAAAAAAATGCACACAAAGCACATGATGCCAAAGTATGGCCAGGCCACCTCTGGTTTACCAACTAGATAGGTTCCAGACACTTGCTCATAAGTCGGTAGTCAGAACTCAGAATGCATCTTCCCACAGAATCTATGTGGCAAATGGCAGATAGGTGTGACTGTAACCTAAGTTCAGTTCCTAAAAGTTGAAGAACAGAAAGGGCATTTCCTCCCGTTTTTCATAAACACCTTGAACAAAAATTTGAAATAGATGAAATAAGTCTTTACCACACTCTGATCTTCCCTTCCTAGGTTCTGCATTCCCTTACACATACGCACACCCAAACACATTTTCGTTTCCTCCTTTCCAGGTTTTCTAAACCCTGCACTATGGCTTTTTGGTAACCCCAAAAGCACCCTACATAACTAGATTATCTTATTTAATCAGTATTTTTTGAGTATCTACTATGTGCCAAGCACTATACGAGGTGCTAGGGATAGAAACATGAATAATAAGACAGCCGTTTCTCTGGAGAAGCTTACAATGTAGCTATAGAAACAGATACATAAATAAATAATTATGGTACAATATGAAAAATGATACAATAGAAATATATATGAGTGCTCGAGGAGCTTTGAAAAGGAATGGATTTGTTCTGCCTGAACGTTTACAGAAAAGATAATATTTGAAAAAAGACTAGGATTCACCAAATAGAATATCGCGAAAGAAGGCTGGGCGCGGTGGCTCACGCCTGTAATCCTAGCTCTCTGGGTGGCCGAGGCGGGCGGATTGTTTGAGCTCAGGAGTTCGAAACCAGCCTGAGCAAGAGCGAGACCCCCGTCTCTACTAAAAATAGAAAGAAATTAATTGGACAACTAAAAATACATAGAAAAAATTAGCTGGGCATGGTGGCACATGCCTGTAGCCCCAGCTACCCGGGAGGCTGAGGCAAAAGGATTGCTTGAGCCCAGGAGTTTGAGGTTGCTGTGAGCTAGGATGATGCCATGGCACTCTAGCCCAGGCAACACAATGAGACTATGTCTCAAAAAAAAAAAAAAAAAAAAGAATATAGCGAAAGAATATTGTAAGCACAAAGGTCAGCATGTATAAAGTTTGGAGGTTTTTAAAAGCTTGATGTGTTCATAGAACAGTGAGTAGGTAAACAAAAGTGATGTATGATAATCTAGGGTCAGATCAGAAGAGCCTTAAATTCCAGGCCACAGAGTTTGGATTTTATTCTAAAGGCAGTAAAAAGCCAGCAAAGATATTTCTAAGGAAGGAAATAATGTGATTGGATGTTTGGGTTTAAAGAGACCGCTATGGTGGCCGGTATGGTAAAGGATGGGCAGGTCCAAACTCCAGGAATGGGAAATGTCAGTAAAAAGTCAGTGACAAGGATCTGAGTACCTCCTCCCTTGCCTCAAAGGAAAAAATTCCATGTCTCTCAAGGTCGCTATCTCAGCAATTACTAATAAAGCAGTCTAACATTAAGTATGAATAATGATAGGGAGGAAGCTCCTTAAAAGTCTTCATTGTTTTAAAATGAAGATGCTTGTTAACCATAAGGAACCTATTTGGAACAGAAGAGGAGTGTGACAAAGCCAACAGGGAAAATTCATACTAAATGAGAGAAATCCTGGTGTCAAGTTTCTCTCTCTTCCCCACGTGACAGCAGCAATAAATCCTCTAATTAGGCCAATGTAGCCTTTATAAGTTAGCTATTATTCCGTCAGACCTTGAATGACTGCAGAAGTTCAAAAATTTTGACTTTTCCTGGGCACATTTTGGAAAAAGAAAGAATAAAAGGAGGATATGACTCAGAGAAGTTAATCAGGTATATCTTGGTCCAGGTGGTAAAGCCTTGAGTTATAATGGTCTAAGTGAGAATTACCACAGAATTACCATGGGTTGGTTGGTGGGAAAGGTCCTTCAGGAGGGTAGGTCCCTAAGAAGATACTCTGATTTTCAGATGCTGGCCCTGACCTACCATAGGACTGGTAAGAAGGAAACCAGAATGATACATTTGCTTGTCCTGTTCTGACCCAGGACCATTCTTTTTTTGCTTTCTCCTTAGTGTTGAAATAATAAGATTGGGCAACAGTTTCTATATCAACTGGGATCAGCAGATGTTTTATCAACCAAAGAACACACCAGCACAGGCTCGTACCACCACCCTTAACGAAGAGCTTGGCCAGGTCAAATATGTGTTCTCTGACAAAACAGGGACTCTGACTCAAAACATCATGATTTTCAGCAAATGTTCTATTAATGGAAAACTCTACGGTATGCATGTCTTCCTGCTTTCCCCAAGTCCTGGGGACATTCTACTTTGCAGATTGTTTTTCAAGGATACTCTAACTCTAAATCTGTAAGCCTTTGAAATTCACATTCACCTCCTATTCTCTCACAACCCTCTGTATTCACTAACACAGAAAACCCAGCCCATTCAATTCTAACCAAAAAGCATTTATTTAGCACCTTATAGATGCAATCCATTCTGTTAGGCATTGAGAATCCCAACATATGTAAGACTTAGTCTCTGTCTCAAGGAGTTCCCAATGTCTTGAGGAAAAACTGTACCCTTAGTTCACTCATATATTCAATCAGATGGTTGTTGGTCAAAGGGTACAAAGCCTCGGTTAAACAGGAGGAATAAGTTTTTGAGATCTATTGCATAGCATATTGACCATAGTTAATAATAATGTATATTTCAAAATTGCTTAAAGAGTAGATTTTAAATGTTCTCACTACAAAAAAATTATGAGTATGTGAGGTGATGGATATGTTAATTAGCTTGATATGATCATTCCACTGTGTATACAGATATGAAAACATCACATTGTACCTGTAAGTGTATATATTTGTCAATTAAAAATAAAAATTAAAAATAAATCAGATGGAGCAGTCATTTATTACTGAAACTGATTCCCCTTTAGACCAATAAGTACTGTTGAGAGAAGCCATCAAAGGGTAGTCAGAGTTTGATCAGTGTCTCCCAGGCCCAATCCCTTATTGATCTTTTGCCTTAAGTATAAGCTTGCTTTTGTGATAAAGTCCTCATGTGTGTGAACATTCATACCCAGTGCCCTAGCTAGTCCAAGGAAGGTGATCTCATCTAAAAATCTACAGCACATGGGATATTCTTCTGGAGCGATGAAAATTTTGAAACTTGAGAGAGGTAGTAGTTGTACAACATTATGAATGCACTTAATTCCCCCAAATTGTATACTTTAAAGTAGTTAATTGTATGTTGTGTGAGTTTCATCTCAATAAAAAAAATTAACATTTTTAAATTACAAAAAAAAGCTAGAGTGCTCTAATGCTTCCTATTACCCCTGCCAAATAAGTTTTCATATGTATAAACTCTGAAGGCTTATTTTTGGATGAGTTGATTTGGGTGAGGATCTTAATTCTCTGGCTCATTGTAAGACCTGACTGTATGCTGAGTAAGGTTGAAAAGGGTCATGATGTTTTTGTGCTTGACATCAGACCTGTCTTCCACCCCCATACTGTCTGTACTATCTACTGGTCAAGAATCTTAAACACTCTAGAACTATTTTCATATCTCTTCTAGTTAACTTTTCTGATTGAGGGGCTTCCTAAGGTGTGAAGTCTCTCATTAATCCAGTGACTAAATTCTAGCTTCTCCTTATTCTCCCTTAAGGGAGAAGAGCTGGTATCCAAGCAGACCTCTTCTTACCATTGGCTTAGGGAAAGAAGCTTACTGGGGCATTGAGGCCTACGTGGCCTGAAGGGATTGGAGGCAGCTTGACTGCAAGTCTAGGATGAAAGAATCAGAAGAAATAATAAGCTTTTAAAAACCCTCCTTTAATTACCATGTGACCCAGCAATTCTATTCCTAGATACTTGCCAAAATTGAAAACAGAAACTCAAACAGGTAACATGTATGCCAGTGTTCACGGTAGCATTATTTACAATAGCCCAAAGGTGGAAATAACCCATGTATCCGTGAACAGATAGATAAACAAAATGTGGTACTGTCTATACATACAGTGGAATATTATTCAGTCACAAAAAGTAATGAAGTATGATACATGCTACAATATGAATGAACCTTGAAAACATGCTAAATGCAATAAGCCAGACATAAAAAGACAAATATTTTATGATTCTACTTATGTGAAATATCTAGAATAGGCAAATTTATAGAGACAGAAATTAGATTAGACATTACCAGGGAGATGGGGGGAAATGGGAAGTTTCTGTTTGGGGTACTGAAAAATTTAGTGGGGATTGTTGTACAACATTGTGAATAGAATTAATGTCACTGAATTTTACATTTAAAATATAAGTTTATGTTATATATATTTTACCACAATACAAAAAAATTTTAAAGCCTCCTTTAAAACCCTTGCCAAGTCTCTGCTCTGTTTGCTTACCACCAGGTGATGTCTACGACAAGGATGGGCAGAAGGTGACAGCCTCTGAGGTAAGTGCATGTGAAGGCTGAGGGAGGGTGTGCTGCAGAGAAGCATCTTTAATTGGGACTCCCTTAGTCCTTGAAATATTAAAGTTTTTATTGGCCCCATAATATCAGAAAGCATTGTATAAATTTCCTATATTTATTTGAGAGGATTTGGGGTTGTTTTTTAAAAATGAAAATAGCTTTATTGGCTTTTTTCTCTTTAAGAAATGATCTACATAAAAAAATTCAAATGATACAGTAATGTGTGGAAAAGAAAGTTAAAATTATTCGATCCCATTTAGATAACCAATGTAAAATTTGGGGTTATGGCCTTTCAGATGCTTTGCAATGGCATGTCTACACACATGTACATACATCCAGATCTAGATCTGGGTGGGGGGAGATAAAATAATTGTGTGTGCTAAATTTTCAACTTCCTTTTGTTGACTTGGCACTCTGTTGTGGTCATCTTTCCATGTCAGTGAATCTACATCTACATCATCATTTTGAATGGATGTGTAGTATTCAGTTGTATCAGCGTACCCCTATTTTTATTCCATTTTATTTTGCTATTACAAATAGCATTTTGGTAATCATCCTGGTACATACATTTTGTTTACTTTTCTGACAATTATTTCCTTAGGATAAAGTCCTAGAAGTGAAATTGATTAGTCAAAAGGTAGCCACATTTTTAATGCATTTGATATTGCCATATTGCTCTTCAGATAGATTTGCATAACTTTATAATCCCACCAAAAATATACAACAATTCCTTTTCCCCCATATCCTTGTCAGCACTGGGTATTGACAATTTTTTTTAATCTGTGGAAATCTAATTGGTGAAAAATAATATCTCATTAGTTAATTTATCTTTCTTTGATTATTAATTAAGTTGAATCATTTTTATGTGCTTATCTTCCTTGCCCTTCCCAACCTTTTTATTTCCCATATACTTATTTTGTGAATTATCTGTTCATATTCATTGCTCTTTTTTTTCTTATTTGAAAATGTTCTTTTATATAGTAGAAACAACAAATCTTCCTTTGTCCGGCACATATGTTATAATTATTTTTCCCATTTTGTCTTTTGGTTTTTAATTCTTAAATAATTTTTTTGGCTGGGTGCGGTGGCTCATACCTCTAATCCTAGCACTCTGGGAGGCTGATGTGGGAGGATCTCTTGAGGTCAGGAGTTCGAGACCAGCCTGAGCAAGAGCGAGACCCCGTCTCTACTAAAAATAGAAAAAATTAGCTGGCCGTGGTGGCATGTACCTGTAGTCTCAGCAACTCGGGAGGCTGAGGCAGGAGGATCCCTCGAGCCCAGGAGTTTGAGGTTGCAGTGAGCTAGGCTGACGCCACAGCACTTTAGCCTGGACAACATAACAAGACTCTGTCTCAAAAAGGAATTAAATAAGTAAATAATTTTTTGTGTGTAGAAGTTTAAACTTATGTAATCAAATCTGTTTTCCTTTATAACTTCAGGATTTGTGACAGATTCAACAGTCCTTACCCACACAATTATAAAAATATCTTACTATTCATTCTTCCTAGCTGGTTCATTTTCACTGATTTCTCTAGTATTGGATCTCAGCTTTTGTTCATGGATTTGATTTTACACATCCCTTTGTAGGACTTCCTCCATTAACTTCAGTGTACTCCTCACCCTAACCCTATCCCTGTCCTGATAGACCCAACTCCAAACCCGTAGCCACATGACTTATTGACTTACGTACTTACGCACTTGACTTTCGACTTCAGTTCCCAGCTATCACCTTACCCCCATTCATCCAAAGAGATTGGGAAGGGGAAGGAAGATTAGTGTTTTGCCTTAAATCATTTTCCAGGGGCTCTTGGAAATATAAATTGTAGCTTCTAGGGAGTAAATTCCCCCTGGAGTTTCTTTCCTCTCCCTCTTCTTTCCACAACTGATTGACCATAACATGTTTTTCACTAAATCACTGGAATCTTTGTTCTCTTGTAAACAAACTTACTTATAACCTGAATCCTTTCATAAAATTGCTATCTTCTCCCCGCCTTAATTGAAACACCACTTTCCCTGAGAACATCCCTTTTCTTCCGTCTCTCTTATACTCTGCATACCATAAGCCCAAAGGTATGTCTTCATTATCCTGGGCCACTTTTAAACCATTACTTTTTCTCCCTCATAGTCTTTCTTCCTGTGATGCTTTTGACTTCTGGCTATCCTCATCTTTAACTGGTCTTGTTGTCAACATCTATGGATCTTCTGGCTTCTTCCACTTCATTCATGAGGACTTTGAAACTTACCTCATGTTCTCCCTTTCCACCCAAACACCACTATCATTTTGGGTGATATTGGCATCTTTCTGGCTGATCTATCACTGTGGACTCTTTCAAGTATCTGAAAAAGTCTTTTAGATGACCTTTTGGACTAAAAGAAGGTCTATATCACCCATTTCCATGTCATCATCCAGAATTGTACTGCTCTAAAAAAGAGAGTGTTAATTTAAAATAAAATAAATAGTTTTAAAAGCCATAGCCCATTAATGAGAGCTAACCAACCACTAATAGTAAATTTTTTATATTTTCTTTTTATTCATATTTTTGGAAAGCACTTAGAACCTTTCCTTGTTCCCACATTCCCCTTTAGCCATTATCTGTCTCCATCAGCCAGTCCAATATTTTTATTGAATGTCTGCTACATGTCAGACCCTGAGTTAGTGCTAAAAGTTCAGGGAAAACGAAACAGACTTGATCCCTACTTTCAGAGTTGGCAGGCTAGAGGAGGAGCCATAGACATAAACAGGCAATTACAGTGGTCTCTGATTCCTCACCATTCATTCATTCTTCAGACTGCTCTGTGTAATCACTCTGTCCTACTATGTCCACTGAAACTATCCTAGCCAAGGTCATTAATGACTACCTTGTTAAATGCTGACCCAACTTCTCTGTGGATTTTAATACCCTTAAACCCCACTTTTTCTTAAGGCTCTCTTGTCCCTAAGCTTCTGGTAAATAACAACTCTTGTTTTTCCTTCTTATCTGATTGCTTTTTCTCATCTCCTTGCCTCAGGTGCTCATGTTCCCCCAGGCCCTATTATTGAATCTCTTTCCATCTATATAGTCTCCCAGATAATCTCATATATTCACATGCCTTTAACTACTACCTGCTTACTGATGACCTGCAAGATCCATCTATCCAAGGAAGCCTTGATAGCTCCCTCCCATCCATGGCCAAGGCTAAAGACATCCTATAAAAACTGTCCTATAGCTATGTCATAGCAACTCAAAGAATTTCTTCAGTTGTCGTCTTCTACCCTCTATTCTCCACTTGCTCTCATCTGTCATTCTCAGTTTCCATCCTTTTGTCTAGTACCTGGATTTGCCTTTCAGCCTTGTTTAACTGGTTGTTTGGCTTTCAATTTCAAAGTTATCTGTGAGTGCTGCCTCTCAGATCATGCTGTTCTGCAGCTCCAAGCCAGCCCTGCCTCAGTCCTATACCCAGCCAGGTTCAGTGTTCTCAAACATTACTTATCTGGAAGGGGAGATCAGAAACTAGCTTGCATCTCTCTCTCTCGAGCTTCGAAACTATATATGCAACTGCCTGCTTTCATTACTACCTGTATGTCCTTTGGGTATCTCCAATTCAATCTGTCAAAAACCTTCTGCTGGGTATTCTGTCTCAGTGAACGGTCTCACTGTCTATCCAGGGGCCCATTTAGGAAATAAAAAATTATTCCTAACTCTTCTTCTCTTTCCCTTCTCCTATCCGTGTCCTATCAATTCTAGCTCCCTGTATTTTCAAATCTATCCCTTTAATTTAATATTTATTGTCACTACTTCATCATTTCCTTTGTGAATCACTGAATGGCCTCCTAACTGGTCTCTCTGCTTCTCATCTCGCTAGTTCCAATATATTCTCCATGTTGCTACCAGAGGACTTTCTCTGACACAAATCTAATTGTGTCACTTCCAGTGGAAAATCACTATGACACCCTGTGCAAATAAGATGGTAATGCAGGATCTGGCTCATGCCTTCCTCTCCAGCCTTATCTGTCATCACACACCAGCTTCAAGTTTCAATGAATGTGCCAGTATAAGAGCTCAATTCTAGAAAGGACTCAGGGTATATATGCTGTACAATCGGTTATCTTAAGTTACTGAACCAATGAACTTCCCAGAGCTCATAACTCTATGGCTGGCCATGTCTAGGGCTTGGCTCTGGACCTGACCATACTTCCTCACTGCTGTGACAAAATTCCCTCTAGATGAGATATGGAAAAGAGCCAACATAGCCCACTACAAACTCCCTTTCCCCAACATAGCACCGAACAGGACAATTGTGTCTATACTTGACATATGGGGTCCCAGCTCAGGTAGCACCACATATACAGAGAACTAGAGAAAGATCCTTGAAAGTTCTGGTATGGGCTGGAAAAATGTATTAATAACATCGCACTCCAGGGTGGGGATAAGTCTCAGGGCAAAGCTAAGCCAGAAAAAGTGTTTACCCAAGGTGGCTACAAGCAGCCTAGCTGAAATGGAGAGTGAGGGTCAATGGCTAAAGGAGCCAAGGTCATAGCCAGGAAAATGGTTAGTGCATATTAGGTCCAAAGATCAAGGCAAAGACTAAAAGAGGGACACAAGCAGCAAGGTGAGTGCCCATGAGTGTTAGAGGCAGGAAGGGTCAGGTATGCTGACAGGTCAAACACAATTAAATCTGCGAACAATAAGCATGTACTGAAAATTCCGTGTCATATGGAATTTCTTGTCCACTCTAGCTCCCTTCTAACCTTTGTGAGGACTGGTGCAACACAATGACCCCACTGTATCCAGGACTCTATTCCCTTCTCAGTACCCAAAATCAGACAAAGGATAACCAGAAGCAAGGCTCTTTCCAGACACCACTTTCAAATACCCCTCAGGTTTGATGATCCTCAGGTTTGATGATCATGGATTTGGGACTTGGAAGAGTAGAGTCTGAAGGTGGGCATTAATCCTTCAGAATAGCTAGAGTGAAAGCGGGGCAAGAAGGGTCTGTCGAGCAGTGCTCAGCTTATCTCCTGTTGGAAGGATCTTTTCTAGCTCAAGTAAATGGCCGGTCTAGGTCAGAGCTACAAGGGCCTTAGGAACCAGCACAGGGTCTCCCCCTTTCACCTTACTTTTCCCTTCCCATCCTCCTGAGAGTTCTCATCACATTCCAGAAATTGTCTCCAGACTGACCTTCTATAAAGTGTTTAGTTGCTGCTGAGAAGTTTGTTCTGGCTTCTGTGTTCCAGAAAGAAAAGATCGACTTCTCCTACAACAAACTAGCTGATCCTAAGTTTTCTTTTTATGACAAGACTTTGCTGGAAGCAGTGAAAAAAAGAGATCGCTGGGTGCACTTGTTTTTCCTCTCACTCTCATTGTGTCATACCGTGATGTCAGAAGAAAAAGTGGAAGGTGAGGAGAGGCCTGAGGCCTCATGGACCGAGAATATATCGTGGAATCTAGACTAATTGAAGGTGGTGGCGGTTTGATATGATTTGTAATGGCTTAATCTAAGAAAGAACTTTCTAATAAGTAGCACTGTCCAGCAATTAAATAGATATCAAGGTAAGTAATGAGCTTCCAGGCACTGGAGATAGTCAAGTACAAAACAACTCTTTTGTTTAAAAAGAGACTCATTCATTGAATAGGAGTCAAACTTGGTGCTATCTAGGGAGCTTTTGATCTTGAGACTCTGTGATGTTCTGTCAAGTCCATCTGACTCAATCCTCAAGATCAGCCTCACTGTCTCTGACAAGACTTTCTAAAGGAGGAGTTGCTGTCCTCTTGTCACTTCACAATTTAAAGATATCCCTGCATGTCCTAGTTTCTTTAGTAACCAAATGTGGCTATGTCATCCATTCATTTATCCAAATCTTTTTAGAAACACTAAATGAGAAATGACTGATTATAAACTAAGAAGACTTTGTTTTTCTTAACAAATAAGAATTTAGGCAACCAAATGAATCACATTCTTTAATGTCAATGTAATCTTAATACTACCAGTAGTGACACCTTATATTTGTGTATCATGTTACAGGTTTACAAATTGCTTTCATTTGTATTATCTCCTATAGTCTTCACGTCAGCCCTCTGAGGCAGGCAAAATAAGAAAGACAACCCTAGTTTTACAGAGAAGGCAATTGAAGCTAAAAGATATAATTTCATTTCAAAATGATACATTACACAATTCACAAACTGTCAATAGGGTATATTATCTAAATACATATAATTTTTTTAAATGAGTAAATGTTAAGAATTTCATTCTATTCAGTGAAGGAATCAGATGTTATAACCAGTTCATACATTTGTATGTACACAGTCAATCCTTGGTATTCATGGTAGTTATGTTCTATAAAGTCACTGTGAAAGCAGAATTATTGAATGCTAAAACATTGCTCCTAGGGGAAATACAGGGTTAGGTTCCCATAATCACATTGGTTTTGTAAACCAATCAATACATAAATTTTATGTGTTTCTGTTTAAAGATACCTTATTTAATATATAGGTAACTCATTAACACCGAACCATAGCCAGCAGCTCACGGAACACATGCTTTCTCTGTAAAGTACATCATAGCCTTCTTGCATTTAGGAACACTAAAAGCACTTCAGCTCTATGCTTGGGGACTAGTTAAACACATTAACTGCCATGTGAGTTGTATTTAACTCAAGCTAGTTTTGAGCCTAGGGCCTCGTGAAGCATATGTAACCCACACGTCTCTTTACCTTGGGAGCTGCATGAACTATTTGTCAAGTTGTATATAACTCAGGCACAGAAAACAATAAAAAATGACAAATTTTTCATTACATTAGAAAGGATCATTTTGTTTTTGAAGGTTTTATTCCATTCTCATAATAAAACACCGTGGCCCCAAGGAAAAAAATTTTTTTCTACCGTGGCAGTTAATGTGTTAAGTTACTTGCCTAAAATCCTATAGTTAATAAGGGCAGAGATGAGAACCCAAAGCTCATGTCTCCTGACCCTGTGAGCTCCCACCCACCTCATGCTTCTAAGGTCTGCCATTCTAACAAGCTGCTCTTATTTGAAGCAGTTCTCCTCTTTGTTTACTGCCTTGAGTGACAGGGTAGGAAACACACAAGAAAATAGTCTCAACTGTTCAGTAGACACTTCTTGTATCTGACCTAAAATTAGACTCCTCACCTACCTTATTCACAAGACTCTGATGATCCATAACTATTTTAAAAACCAAATTGACCTTCAGAAGAGAACTAATCTAAAGTACACCTCAGGGGCCAGGGCGGAGGCTCACGCCTGTAATCCTAGCACTCTGGGAGGCCGAGGCGGGCAGATTGTTTGAGCTCAGGAGTTCGAGACCAGCCTGAGCAAGAGTGAGACCCCGTCTCTACTAAAAATAGAAAGAAATTAATCAACTAAAAATATATAGAAAAAATTAGCTGAGCATGGTGGCGCATGCCTGTAGTCCCAGCTACTTGGGAGGCTGAGGCAGGAAGATCTCCTGAGCCCAGGAGTTTGAGGTTGCTGTGAGCTAGGCTGATGCCACGGCACTCTAGCCCAGGCAACAGAGTGAGACTCTGTCTCAAAAAATAAAAATTAAAAAAAAATAAAGTACACCTCAAGTTGTGATAATATTCAAGCAAAGGAGTTCCAGAAATACCTTGAGTAATATCAGATTGAAAGACTGATTCAACAAAGTGAGTCATTTTGTTTCCCAGGGTGAGTTTCAAAGGTGACAACACTCATTCATGTGTATTTTTAATTGTTAACTAAACCATCAATCTTATTATCTTATAGCAGTGTTTATCAAATTGTGGTCAGTCTCATGCAGGAGCACTTATACAGGACCACCTGCATGAGAATCACCCAAGAGATGTGTTAAAAAATGACGTTTCTTGGTATAATAGTCATTGCAAACTCATAAGAGGGAAGGATGAGAAATTACCTCTGGGGTACAGTGTACACTACTTGGATAATGGGTACACTGAAAGCTTAGACTCTGCCACTATATAATGTATACGTGTAATGGAATTCAACTTGTACCCCCAAATCTATTAAAATAGAAAAAAATGTTTTTAATTCAATTTCTTAGGCCCTCCTCCCAGATATTTTGGGATTACAGATCCAGTAAATGTGGGTGGGGCCTAGGAACCTGCATTTTTAGCATGCTGCCTGAGCCATCTTTACCCACTAAAATTACAGAGTAACTGCCTGTTCTGTTTGTTTGTATACATCGCATGTACCATGTACCTTGCTAATCCCACTCAGGCCTGTGAAATGAGTTGAAAATAAAGGAAAGGAAAAAAGACTGACAAGTTCTATGCAAGCTGGCCTTTTAGGGCTAGACTTGTGAGGAAGTTTTTAAAAAACTTCTGGGCTCCATCTTTATGTAAGCCATTTAGAAGACAGTGTCACTTCTGGGTGGACTTCAGCTACTCATCTCTGTGGGGTCTGGCTGCCTTCTTCTCTCCTGTCAGGTGTGCTGGTGTACCAGGCTCAGTCACCAGACGAAGGTGCCCTGGTCACTGCTGCCAGGAACTTTGGCTTTGTATTCCGTTCCCGCACGTCTGAGACAATCACAGTGGTCGAAATGGGGCAAACCAGAGTCTACCAACTGCTAGCTATTTTGGACTTCAGCAATGTGCGCAAACGGATGTCTGTTATTGGTGGGTGCTCCTCCTAGCCCTCTCCCCTTCTTTGTCCTTCACATACAGTCACATGTTGCCTTTGTCTTTTTTCTACACACAAATGCTTTCTCCCACTCACATGCCTTCTCATAGGTACTGTATCTTAAATATACAGAACCATTCCTACTTTCTCTCTCACATATACTTTAACTTTTCTCTTATGCACATACGAGGGCTTGCTAGTATATGCTAAGTCCCTTCTGTAGAGTTCCTGGTTAGTGACTTGTCAGCACCCTCAAAGCCAAGATAAGGACAGAGAATAAATTTATAAAACCTAAACATGGAATAAGAAATGGGAACAGACAACATAGGGGAAATTCATACTGTCTTGCTCTCTCAATTAGTTTAGCCCTGAGACTAAAGAGGGAGGAGGTCATTTTTCATCCTTGGGTCTTACTAGGTGTGAGCCTGGAATTGAGAAACTAGATGTGATTCTACATCCAAATCTTCCACAGGTGATAATGAACCATGGAGGAACTGGTTCTGTAAGTTCCTCTCTCATTCTTGCCAGCCCTCACCACGTCATTCATCCTGTGTGACCACTCATTGAGTGCTTAGCCTCCAAAGGTATCAGAAACAAATGTCACGGGGAACAGCCTCCTGCCATCCCTCAGTGGCCCAGACAAATTCTTTAACAACAGGCCTATATGGTTACTTTGCTTAATTTGCTTATCTTTAGTGAAGACACCTGAAGATCGGGTAATGTTGTTCTGCAAGGGTGCAGACACCATCATCTGTGAGCTGCTTCATCCATCCTGTAGATCCCTCAGTGATGTGACCATGGAACATTTAGATGTAAGTGTTTAGGCTGCAGGAGAGGGAAGCTATGGGTGGTTCTCTGTATCTGGATATATGTTCACGTATGTGTCCCTGTGTCAGTGTGTTTCTATGTGGGTGTATAATAGTGTCTGGGTCTCTTTAAGTGGTGGAAGAATAAACTATCTCATTCTGTGGGATTCTCACTGACCACATTGCCATTTATGCCAAAGAGTTGGGTGGGATAGGACCCCAGAGGCCTGATGAGAATTATGTCTGTAGGAACACTTAACAACAATCAGAATAATTCCATGATTGTTGGCTCAGGAATTTCCATGGTCAGACCTGGAATTTGCTTCAGAATAGAGCCTGCTGATGTGGGAGGCCTCACTCCAGCAGCCATGATGAGAACAGACTGCCTTTAGGATATGGAGCAGAAAGCACCAGGCCTGTCCTGTTTGATACCTCTCTGTGTTGTCCATAGGACTAGAATCCCCAGGGGCACCTCCCCACTCCCTACCCTAGCCTGTTTCCACCCTCTAGGATTTGGGATGTATCAAAAAGAAGGACTGGCTCCAGCCTGCTGGCACAGGAAGGAAAAACCAGATCCATGCTCTCTGGGTTTTCCACCCCTAAATCTGGATATACAAAGGGTCGGGAGAATAGGGAGAAAACAAGGGACAGAATAGGAATGGGGACAGGTCACAAAAATATTTTATAAAAGAAACAAATTGGCTGGGCACAATGGCTCATGCCTGTAATCCCAGCACTTTGGGAGAATAAGGCAGGAGGATCACTTAAGGCTAGGAGTTCAAAACCAAACTGGGCAACATAGTGAGACTCTGTCTGTACAAAAATAAATATTAAAAAATTAGCCGGCTGTGGTGGCACATACCTGTAGTTCTAGCTACTCAGGAGGCTGAGGCAGGAGGATCGCTTGAGCCCAGGAGTTTGAGGCTGCGGTGAGCTATGATGATGCCACTGCACTCCAGCCTGGGCAACAGAGCTTTGTCTCTAAAAAAAATAAATTTTAAAAATAGGCCAGGCACGGTGGTTAACACCTGTAATCTCAGCAGTTTGGGAGGCCAAGGCAAGAGGATCACTTGAGGCCAGGAGTTCAAGACCAGCTTGGGCAACATAGCAAGACCTAGTCTCTACAAAAAATAAAAAATAAAAAGATGAGCTGAAATACTACTTTATACCTACTAGGATGGCTAAAATAAAAAATATGGATAATAGGCCGGGCGCGGTGGCTCACGCCTGTAATCCTAGCTCTCTGGGAGGCCGAGACGGGTGGATTGTTTGAGCTCAGGAGTTCGAAACCAGCCTGAGCAAGAGCGAGACCCCATCTCTACTAAAATTAGAAAGAAATTAATTGGACAACTAAAAATATATAGAAAAAATTAGCCAGGCATGGTGGCGCATGCCTGTAGTCCCAGCTACCGGGAGGCTGAGGCAGGAGGATCACTTGAGCCCAGGAGTTTGAGGTTGCTGTGAGCTAGGCTGACGCCACGGCACTCACTCTAGCCCAGGCAAAAGAGTGACACTCTGTCTCAAAAAAAAAAAAAAAATATGGATAATAATAATGTGTGGGCAAGGATGTAGAGAAATTTTAACCCTCATATATTGCTAATAGGAAAGTAAAATGGCACAGCTATTTTGGAAAACAGTCTGGCATTTCCTTTAAAAATTAAGCATAATGTTATCATATGACCTAGCAATTTCCTAGGTATATTTGCAGGAAAGTAAAAATATACATGCACACAAAAACATGTATACAAATGTTCATAGCAGCATTATTAATAATGGCCAAAAAGTTAAAACAACCCAGATGACTATCAACAGATGGATGGATAAATAAAATGTGGTTTTTTTGTATAATAGAATGTTATTTGACAATAAGGAAGTACTGATACATGTTCCAACATGCATGAACTTTGAAAACATTATGCTAAATGGAAGAAGCCAGTCACAAAAAGACATATATTATATGATTCCATTTATATGAAACGTCCAGACTAGGCAAATCTGTGGGACAGAAAGCAAATTAGTTGTTGCCAGGGTGTAGGGGAAAATGGGAATGACTGCTAATGGGTACAGGGTTTCTTTTTGGGGTGATAAAAAGGTCTTGAAATTAGATAATGGTAATGGTTACACAAATGTTTTAAAAGTCCACTGAATCGTACACTTTAAAAGGGTGAATTTTATAGTATGTAAATTGTATTTCAAGTTAAAAAAAATAAGTCAGTGAAGTATCCCACACAAGACAGCTCTTATGTCTTATACTGGTTCCCAGAGGCCACAGTATTTTTTATGGACTAGTCTCTTATCATTTAATTCAGAACACATGAATCAGGGTACCTTTTCTTATAGCATTTTCACAGACTGGCTTCAAAGGGGATCGTAAAACTGTTTCAGATCTTTTGATATGCTTCCTGTTAACAACCTCAACAGGCACTTATAGTGGGCCCTAACTACACTACAGCTTATTAACCACTGATGACAAACCTATGAGAGTCAAGCTCCAACAGTCCACTCATGCAGAAGCACAGCTCCAGGCCTGCTGAGACAGGTCGCACAAAAACAGGTGGCAGGCAGAATTTGGCTCCCAGGCCCTAATTCGCCCATCCCAGGACTAAGATAAAAGAAAAACATACAAGTAGGGATAAAAGATAATGTTAACATATGCTGCTAAATTATTTGTTGAATGGATGAATGAATCTGTCATACTGTTAAGATTGTCAGGTCCTCTCATCTGTATCCTATGAAAAACCAAATTCTGCCACTATCACTTTCTTCTTAAGAAGCCTCCTGAGATCTTTCCTGGGGCTTCTTAGGCTGCCAACAGTACAGAGGTTTAAGAGATGGCATTCCTTACATATAATGTCTTGTGTTAATTTCACCCGACAGCTAGTTCAAACACTCAGGAGTTGCATAGGGAACTAAGAGCAAATTCCATTTCTGTTTGCTCTTATAATGCCAAAGTGAATTATTTTGCAGCTCACTATAGTGGTGATCATGTAGAATCGTTGTTCATGTGCAGTTCTCAATACACAAAATCTGTTTCTAACCCACCCTTAGATGGATGTGAGTCCTTCCCTGAACCACCCACATTCTCACTCATCCCTCCTTATGACAAAAGTATCCTCCTGCAAGATAGTTAGCTGTGGTTAGTTAGGATATATATCAGTGGCCGAGGGGCAAAAAGATACTAACTTACCCAGAGAGCATTTCTACTGTGGCTCATTAACACTGCTGGCTGTGGCTAATCAACTGAGCCAGCCAGCTGTAGACAAGTACACAAGTATGTGCTGTGTAAGATACTCATTGAATATTTGATAAAAGAAGGAAGGGAGAGAAGAAAATTAAAATGAATGTATGCTTGGCTAGGTGCGGTGGCTCACGCCTGTAATCCTAGCACTCTGGGAGGCCAAGGC